GCAGGAGATGCCCTGTTCAAACTGGAACTTCTCTTCATATCCCTAAAATCCCTCTAGAAAGGCACAAGTGTTAATGAAAGCCAAATACAGGCTTAAGCAGAAGTTGATGGTATTCTTGGAAAAATATTTCAGTATTAAACTTCAGAAAACAAATGGAGACCTGGCTTTCAAATTTGGATGTTAAAAGTTGTGGTTAATCAGTTGCATATCTAGAGATGCTATTATTCAGCTTGTAAGGAGACATAAGCTGACTTTTTCAAAGTGCTGTTGTCATAGCCTATACCTTTCCTCTCAGTGACTCACTTTTCTGTTGTTCCAGAGAGAGACCTTTTTGGAGCAGAACCTTTTGACCCTTTTAGCTGCGGAGCAGGAGATTTCCCTCCAGACATTCAGTCCAAACTAGATGAGATGCAGGTAACTGTTGAGTTATTATGCACTTTCCTATGGCTGTGTGACTATTCTTGAAATATATGTCTACATTATTCTGAAAATGTATTCCAGATTGCACACACAAATACATAGAAAAAAAAACTATTTCTAACTGTTCCTTTTGTAAGTATGCCTCGTGGTCTTTGAGTTGAATTTGCCTGAAGAGCCTTACAAATATTAGCCCATGGTATTAATAAAGACACCTACACTAATTTAGGGTTTCTCAGCAGTGTAATTGAAATGATGGATACTGTTACTCCTGACTGGGAAGGGACTGAGTGAGCTGAAAAAAAAGAGCTGAGGTGCAAGCCTTACAGATACACTGATCTTATTACTGTTCAGTTCAAGCAGTCACCTCCATCCCACCATACCCTGATCTTTCCCTTGGTGACATTAGTCTGAGTTTTCATAGCATTTGTGTAGGCAACGTACATGCTTAAGGGGCCATGGCAATTTTCTGCTGTATTTGACTAAAGCACTCTGAGACAAACTATCAAGAGTTGATTCAGGAATTCTGAATGGATGGGTTTTTATCAGAAAATGTTTGTTGATTCTGTAACATTCAATACTGTCTGTCCAGTTATTGACCCAATTTTGAAGCAATTCTAGGAGAAAGCCTTCAAGTTTTGGAATAAATCACTCTCTTCAGTCAGACTTTCCAAACTGCTACTTCCTTGTCAGCTTGCTTATCTGTTTTTTTTTCAGCAGCTTGGCAGCAAAACAGAAGGCTGAAAATACTGGGAACTTGAGTTTCTAGGATCCTGGCTCCTCAGCAGAAAGTGTTCCCAGGGCTTCCAGCCCTCTTGTATCTCAGTAGCCCACAAATTCCACAAGTTACCTCTCAGGTTTCTTCAGTTCCTCTCTTCTGACTGGGGAGCAGCAGAAACATTTCAAAATGGCTGAAATAAGATTTAATTATTGTTTACCTAAAGAAAATTTTTGAATCCTTGTTCATTTTGAAATTTCATTTTCTGTGTCAGTGTAGGATGGTGCCACTTGCAAACTCTGCTCACTCAGAAGTAAGAAATTTAGATTATAGCTTACCTGTACTCTGGCCCACGTAATTTCAAATAGGAGTAAAAGCCAAAATTGGCCTCTTTGCAATTCTGTTACAAACGCTTGTGTTTAGTGAATGCTATATTGTTATTACCAAGCCCTTTAGCACAAAAAGCAAATCTTTTAGCACCTCACATGGATATATATCAATGTTTCCATTGTGTGTAGCCCATTTTAGGAAAAAGTATACTGTAGTATGTGTGGATACTAGCAAGAATCCTGTGACTATAGCTAAGTGTCACACACTAAGAGTTCATATTACAGGCAACATTTTGGAAAAATTTTATATTGTTAGCATATGAGGCTGCAAAGTGTTATCACCTCATAAAACATCAGTGGATGGAACAGTAGAAATCTTTATCAAATATTTTTGAAGTCATAAAATGAAAAACTCATACCATTGTTTGTACTCTCTTGACCTCAAAAAGCAGACAACCATCCAATAACAAAACCCCCAAACCTTAGGGCATTAGTATGTCCTTTTGCAAAGAATATTGCATTGGTCGGGTGTTCCCAACATATTTTATTTTTCCAACTTTTTAATATGCTTTATAAACTAGTCTTGCAATTAGACAGTCTAGTATACCCTGACGCTTTCACTGGAAAATAATTAGTGGGTCTTTATGTAGGCAGGAAACTTATTCATGTATAATCCATTTGAGAAAAAGCGTAAAGCTGACAGGGCGTGGGGAAAAAAATATTCTGACTTTGGCCAAAGCAAAAGCTATGTGCAGTTATTTTACTAGGTGGTTGATGCAAACTACAGATTGAAACATGTTTGTCCTAATATCTCTTTTCTCATCTTGTGCTTTCCTGGGTGCCTAGCGTCAGCGATGGTTGGTATATCATATTTTAATAATGGTATTTAAAGCATTTACAATTGAAGTGTGCATGTGTTCATGTCCGTTGTTTTTATGTGTACATATATATATATAAAATTTTAAGATGTATATTTTATATATACAACCGTAAGTCAGGGCCATTTTAATTTTTAGAGGCCTACAATTTTTAAGTAGTGACAGCTGATGTTAGTTTTCTTTAGTCTGTCTTATCACCTGCTAATAATACTATAATAATACTAGCCTTCATTTTCATTGCTGTTTGTTTTCCATGTGTACTAGTGAAATCTCCAGTTTTCATTATCAGATTGTTAGTAGTTAAATGTTTTAAGCAAAACCTTTGATCACGTAGATTTTTGTGTTAGTACAGTCACATTTGTGAATGTGTTTTTATTAGGAAACAATTATTTAAAAACTTGAAATGAGCAGAAGATAACTGTGCTAGAAGTTATCAGTTGTTAGATACGCAGCCTATAAGAAGGAAGGTGAAATGGATGCTACAAAAGATAAAAGCACAGAATATGTAATGTGCTCTGGGAAATATAACTTTAAGAAACATGAAAGAAAAATGTAGTCTTCTTTCCTTCTCTGGAATGCAAGGTGAAGAGACCTGTTGTCTTTACATTATGTAAGTCCAGCCTGAGTTTCAGTAAATACATGTTCCATTAAATACGCAAAGGTAAGTTGTTTACAAACACGTCTAATAGCTCAAAATACAAACTTATCCTGAGAGGATATTAAGTGGTGTTTATCCTACACTCGGAGTGACAAGGAAGCTGCCATGGTGCCAGCCAGTGACAGCCTGCTTGGAGCAGCTCAGGCCAGGCTCTCTTATCCTAATTCTTGTGTAAAGCTGTGTCAGATGCCTCAGCAAACACGCAGAAAAGCTGTCTCAGCATATGCGTGCATTGGAAGGTGACGTGCATTGAAAGGTGACGTGCAAGCGAAGTGGGAGAAGGCGGCACAGCACAAGAGGTGTTGGGAGAACAAACTTTAATAGTGGGTGTTTTTCCTTTGCATCCAATAAGGTTCTCTGACCTCTGGGGGAACATGTTATGTTTAAACTTTAGTGAAGATTCAAATTTCACACTTGAGCTCTTTCTGTTCCATTTCTCAGTCCAATCTCCGTTGATCTTTTTGGAGAGCTCAAAACTCAAACATGTGCTGACATGTGACTTTTACAGCTCAGACCTCTCTCTGATGACTGTCCAGACTCCTGTTTGCCCCCACCCTTATGCTGAAACGTATTTTCATCCTCTCTATTTTGACTGTGTCCGGACATTAATAAAATGAATCTGTTTGTTTTCCCAGAAATTTTGCAGTAATGGGAATTTGCCCTGGATCATTGATCATACCAGCAACAGCTGCTATAATTTATTAAAATCTCAAGGTAGTTAATATCATAAAGCTTCCAGGAGCTGCAAGCCATTCTTCCTGCATGGCCTGAAGCAGGCAGTAGGCTTGACATCTTTCCATCCAAAATAAGTTATGCTCAACCCTCTGAATTATATTCTCAGAGGTGTGTAAAGTTATAATTGGTTCATTGGGTTTGTGCTGACTTAAGCTCATTGAGGGAAGTCACTATGAAGTGATAAATGAGTTAACCTCAGAGGCATTAGGTTGACTTTGGCAAATTTATCTACTGGTAAAATGGAAGTTCTTTATTCTTTTACTGTTCACTGTTCACTGTTTTTAACTGGTATAGCTCACATCTTCTTATCACAGACACAAAAATGTGGGAGTTTTGGAAGAGTGGTTGTTTTCAGGTTCCTTTTTTTTCTGTGAAAATAAGCTTTGCTTCTTTCCTAAGAGACCAATAATATATGTTATTACAATACCATCATTTTTCTAGATAAGATGTTCAGTCCTTGAGTTAAATCACCTTGGAAGTAAGAAAGTGACTTGACACTGAACACAGAATGGATATGAACACAGAAGCGAGGCACAATGTAGATGCACGCATTATGTCCCTTCCTGTTCCCACTCCTGTCCAGTATCAGAGAATGGCCTTTTCTGCATTCCCTGAAAATCAGCAGATTTGAGAGATTTTCTGGACAAATGAGGAGATAAGAGTTTCTTGAACCTTTAAAGTCCAGGAAGCTATGGCACACATTTTTTTAATGAACAGGCAGTGTGTTATGCTAAGAACACATTATTAGAAGCTGAAATGTCTATATTAAAGTTAATGTGTATTAATGCATGTATTAAAATTAATGATGCATATTTTTATATATACAGTATGTAATGTGTACCAACTGCTGAATATACATGTCATTTTTAATGAAAAAAATATTATGCCTAACACATTAATCGAGTTTACTAGAAAAAAGGTAAAAGCAAATCATAATTTATAATTGGCTCAGTCATTCCAACTGACTTCATTATTATTACAGCTGCAAATGGTGGGTTTTGGAGTGGAGAGTCAGAAGCAGGCATATGCTGTAAGATATAATAATCATACAGCAGCTTCCAATAGGAGCTGATATTTTGTAATTTTTGTATTTGACAATTTTTTTTCTCCCCAAAGGGCTATCAGGAAGAGCATGTAATAAGACTTGAGGGACGTATGCAGTTCAGGTGTATATATAAACTATATTCCTGGAAGTGGACGTGAAGTTGAAGCTGTTCAGCGTTGCTCTGAGAAGTACAGCATAGGATACTTACTCTGTTGTTTGCATTAGTCACTGTGTCTGGACATACAGGAGAGTCTTTTCTTAAAACCTTCTCTTCCCACAGCTTGCTTGACTACAGCTGATTGGAATTTTTTTTATTATATCGTATGTAGTTCTGGAGATACCAAAAAATATTTAATAATTTGGAGTTATTTTGCAAAACTTGAGGGATTAGGAATGGAGATGGCTGTGGCTGTGGGAGATCTGAGGTCTGTGCTTTCCTGATATTTGGAAATTTGATTGCAACCACTTTGCCAAAGAGCCTGCTGGATGAGGATGTTCTGATTTAATTTTTTTTCCCCCTTTTGAGGGCTGCATTTAATTTAATGAGAATATTTGTCAAAACAATACAGCTTCATTTGGTTTATACTCTTACATGCTTCTTGTCCTCAACTTAAATGTTCATGAAGAAAAAAAATCTGGACTTTACATTCTTTTGAAATCTGAGGAATGCCCAGGTGGCTCCCTAGATTGCCCTGATGTCATCTTCATGTTGTTGGGGGCTTTTGACCCTGTGGTTGGTGTGGAAGTTTGAGCCTCCTAGTAACTGTACTAGCTGACCCTTGATGATGGTGGGTTTTGTGTGATTTAACAGGTGAACATTGAAATGTCATGTTCCTGTTATAGACATGCTATTTTTACGTATGCATGCGTTAGCACTGCCATTCCTGGCACTGTAGTAGTAGGTCTTACTTCTGTATCAATTCTGGCTGTAATAGAAGCTGGGTTCTCAGGGATGCAAGTGGTAACAGCACCTGGCAACCACATCACTATTTTTTTTTTTTAGAACAGACAATAGTTCATTATGGTAGCAAAGTTAAAAGGCTTTTGATATAATTATGATACATATAGTGCAGCGATCACTTAATGGATTAACATTGATCACATTACAAATACATTAAAATTTGATTGTTTTAAATGCAAAATAACACAGCTTAAAAGAGGAGGAGGAAAGTGGTCTGGAGTGAAGTTGCAGAAGGAAAAGTCAAGGAGACCCCTGTTCCTCAAGAAAGCAGAAATAGTTCAAAGCAAAGTCATAGCAAATGCAGCTAAGTGCTAAGTGACAAAATATCATTTTGTATGCAATAAAACTAAAATTTTAAAAAGGCACATGATCAGCATCAGCGCAGTAAGATGTGTGCACATCCTTTGATTGCAATTACATCAATTAATAGTACCCTTTGGGTAAATGAACAATGTCTGTTTATAACAGGATGTGTTTAACTTCAGATATGGTTTGCTGGAAGTATCTTTTGCATTGAACG